AGGTTGGAGGCCATCGCTACTAGGGTGGAGGAAACAACCGGGGTATAAACGCGATCCCCTGTCCTTGATAAGGATCGCCTCCTCAACGACTTTTGGTATTTGCCTCCACGCGGAGCAAATGACCTGCAAAGCTGCCACCTGGAGCTCCGGGAACCAGTGTTGCTCTTTCGGGGTTGGACCTTTCCCAGCTTTCAGCTGCATGGATGCAGAGAGTCTTTCGATAGCCAGTGAGGATGTAATTCAGCTGTAGACAGCCATCTAGCCTTTTTTTGGTTCTTGTCCCAATTTGAGAGTACTGCAGGTTTGATAAGGATCATGTACAGTTCTAGTTTCTTCTCTTCATGTTTCACAGTGACCCCTAGTCATACAAGGGTAGTGCTAACATAGCATGCGGTGCCACCAAACATCTCCCAGTTGTGATCTCGTGGAACATCGAGATATTTAGGGAGCTTGGTCTCTGAGAGAGGGTCAAGGGCCAACATGCTGAAAGATGATGAAAGCAAAGGCTTCAAGAAACACTCAACAGACGCCGACAACGGAGATATGGTGGGTTCAGGCATGTTCAGGTCATCAGTTCCCGAACGTTGGGTGCCAGACTTCGACATCCCAACTCCGAGGTATGGCCATTTGCTGCATGATTTACTGCCTATGTTGGTATGGATGGCAAGCAGATATCCAAAGACCAAACTGATTGTTGTTTTGGATGAAGAGGAAAAGATCCGACGCTTCTTGCAATGGTTTAACATGGACTTATTCCACAGAGCCATCTTCATTCCGGAGGAGTCGCTTGTCGGTCTTGGAGGGGCAAAGCACCATTGTTCCTAGTAGCCTCTTGTTACTCATAGTAAGAATGCCTTTGTCGCTGGTAGCGATGCCCTTTGCTACTAGTAGCTTCTTGTTACTAGTAGTAATGGCCTCCACCCTACTAGCGATGGCCTCCACCTAGTACTCACCTTTGATATCCTTTGATCCTTGCTCACCCTTTGAGCGAAGTGAACCACCACAGGACCAAGTTCTCTACACCGAGAAATGCACGAATTGGTGAATTGATGCGATCTCTCAACTAATTTCACTTGCTCCAACCAGCAAACATTTAGACATTCCCCGGTCTATGTGTCTCCAAATCCGGCAGGTTCTTTTCCTGCGTGCACACTGGGCACACTGGGCCCCCACACCCGAGGACCACGGTTTGCGCCGAGACGATTCATGCTGTGGTACCCAAGATGGCCAGTTGCAACCATCCAATCAGCCTTCGCATTCTGCAGCCGAACAAACACTTGAGGCCGGGGATGGGACAATTGCTGTGTGATTCGGCTCCAAAGAGATGGAGCATTTTTCACAAGTTCAATTTCTCCAAGTAAAACAGAAGTCAACCCGAAATGCAGTCGCTGAACCTGCGAGACTTTTTCTTGAAAGCTTTTTGAAAGAAGGGGAGGCTGTGCCGGACTGGAGAGGAACGAATCAACCAATTTTGACGGGAACATACACCAGCAAGGACGCTACTAGGGGCTCCTGGCCTTACTACTAGGAGCAATGTTTGCTACTAGGAGCAAAGGGTATCGCTACTAGGAGCAAGGACGCTGCATGAGACGATTTGCCGAGTTGACTCATCTCACTTGAACACCGACCATATTCTTCAACGGAACATGACCCTTGCGTCGACATAGGCAGCGTGTTCTGCCAAGATTCTCAAACATGTTAATAGCGATTGCCTCCAACCTACTAGCAAGATTCTCAAACATGCTAATAGAGCTAATAAGATTGGATCGCTGAGCTGTGCTTGAAGTGTTGCGGGCAATTTCACCTTGATCTACCCAGTGTGAAGATTACAGAAGACCTTGTGGTTCTCAACTGGGACACGTTTGGCGGTATTTCACCTTACATCGCCGAAAACTGAGTTGTCTGTGCCAAATCTGGTTGAATGGCTCCAAGATTCGCGCTTGTATATCCCTTTTTCTTTTCGTTTCAGGCAGCAGATTGCGAAGTTTCTGCCGACTTATCCGGCCAACCGGGTGGTGTATCAGACACGCCTGGGCACAGCGCACCATGGGCGACTGGTTTCCGAATCGCATTCCAAAGAGATTGTGAACGTGACCAAGGACACGGGCCATTTCGGGGAATACTTATATAGCTTTAGGTTGGAGGCCATTGCTATTAGGTTGGAGGCCATCGCTGTTTGGTTGGAGGCCATTGCTATTAGATTGGAGGCCATTGCTGTTTGGTTGGAGGCCATTGCTATTAGATTGGAGGCCATTGCTGTTAGGTTGGAGGCCATCACTGTTAGGTTGGAGGCCATCGCTATTAGGTTGGAGGCCATTGTTCTTAGGTTGGAGGCCATCGCGCATAGGTTGGATGCCATCGCTGTTAGGGTGGAGGCCATCGCTGTTAGGTTGGAGGCCATCACTGTTAGGTTGGAGGCCAAAGCTATTAGGTCGGAGGCCATCGCTGTTAGGTTGGAGGCCATCGTTGTTAGGTTGGAGGCCATCGCTATTAGGTTGGAGGCCATTGCTATTAGGTTGGAGGCCATCACTGTCAGGTTGGATGCCATCGCTATTAGGTTGGAGGCCATTGCTGTTAGGTTGGAGGCCATCGCTGTTAGGTTGGAGGCCATCGCTGTTAGGGTGGAGGCCATCGCTGTTAGGTTGGAGGCCATCGCTGTTAGGTTGGAGGCCATAGCTATTAGGTTGGAGGCCATCGCTATTAGGTTGGAGGCCATTGCTATTAGCTCGGAAGCCATCACTGTTAGGTTGGAGGCCGTTATTAGGTGGGAGGCCATTGCTATTAGATTGGAGGTTATCGCTGTTAGGTCGGAGGCCATTGCTATTAGGTTGGAGGCCACCGCTGTTAGGGTGGAGGCCATTGCTATTAGGTTGGAGGCCATCACTGTTAGGTTGGAGGAAATTGCTATTAGGTGGGAGGCCATTGCTATTAGGTTGGAGGCATCGCTATTGGGTTGGAGGCCATTGCTATTTGGTTGGAGGCCATCGCTGTTAGGTTGGAGGCCATTGCTATTAGGTTG